TCCAGTCAAAGTCGATGAAGCTCTAAAAGCTTGGCTGGAAGCACTCAACAGGGAATGTTGCCAGTCTTGTTATCAGAAGTTCGTTAAGCTGCGTGCTAAAAGCCTTTTAGCGATCACTTTGTGTCGAGAGATTTGAACTTCATATCCTAAAATATGATCAAGAAGTTCTATCTAGGGATGTCAATGTATTTAAAACGTTAGAAGTCTGGATAGTTTCTTTGATTTTCGTAAGATGAGGTATATAACACTTTTACACTATGCTGATTCATATCTATTCACACAAAAATGTTAATCCATCATGTGTCAAGATCACGAGTCGAGTTTTTTAGAATGTTTTCAATTATTATTATCTTTTAATTAGATTTTTTACAATTACTCGAAATTTTTACTCGATGAATTATAAGATCGATTCACATGTAATCCTATATTCCTGATGATCCATGACGACTTATACATGAGAGATCAAGCTCGTGAATTGAAGCTTTGTGTTTCCATTTATTATTTTCTTAATTAGATTTTTTACAATTATGAAATTTTTATTCGATGAATTATAAGATCAATTCTGCTGATTCATATATTCATATGATGATCCATGATGATTTATATATATGAGAGATCAAGATCACGAATTGAAGCTTTTGAAGCTTTGTGTTTCCATTTATTATTCTTTTAATTAGATTTTTTATAATTATGAAATTTTTACTCGATAAATTATAAGATTCCAAGATTTATTACTTGTAGTTAGTATGCAAAAAGACAAAACAATTGTTGAAAAAAAAATTGAAAATAATATTGTATTAGTACAACGTTATCTTTCAATAAATGTTATTCAGGGATTAATTTAATTGCGATTGTAATTTTCAAGTAGTGTGACGATGGAATATAATTTCCTCTATCTTTATTCGTTAATTAGAACGATTCTAATTAACGTTTGAACTCTCGTCGTTCGTACGAGAAATTATAGATAATTATTATGGAGAATCAGTGTAAATACTTGTTATTATTAACTTAATCGTTTATCCTTGGACAGGTGAATGGAAATTGCAGAAAATAGATTTATCATAGGTAATCATTGGATCATTCATGATCATCCATTAATCCTTTACTGTAATGAATATCGTTGTTATGTTAATTATCATTCGAAATTTACATATTTAATTTCATTAACTGTTCAAATTTTATGAATTTGGAGGCTATTCAAGTACGAAGTTAAGAAGAAATTTATTTTTAGAAAATACTATATTTCTTGAGATATTGAAATATGTGGTGATCGTCGTTTTTTTCTTTTTTTTTTTTTTTAACGTTCATAAGTTTTAATATTGTGAAAAAATAAAAGAGTTTTGTTGATGATGATCTTGAGGATTGGGAACCGAGCAAAGAATTTTTATAATAATTCATAATTAAATTGGATAATTATAATTTAATCTCACGAATATGCCTGATTATTATTACGTGATCCATTCTGAAAGATAATATCAGAAAGATGATATTAAGTACAGGAAGAGATGTAATAAAAAAAACACGAAATAAAAAAATTTGTTGTTGGGGAGAAGAAGATCGAAATAAAAAATTAGATTATTCTTGAGCGTCGAGTCGAATCTTAATTTAAAAAAAAGAAAAAGAAAAAAAAAATCGAGAAAAGAAAAATACAAACGGA